GAACAGGGAGAAATCCCGTGATTTGCAGAGAGGGCTAACTGATTCCAGTCAGTTGCCCTTAATGATGAACTTTTTATCTGTCTCTTTTTTTATTTATTTATCTGCTTCTAACTTTTCTTCTGTTCTTTGTTTTGCAGATAAAATTCCATGGAGTACTGGAGCAAGGGATAGAAGATGAAGAATTGAAGATTTAGAAACATACTTAGGATAGTTTTTATTTAAATTTAAATAAATGTAAAATCATTGTTGTAAACAATTTGTAAACAAAACAATTGTACAAATAATTTAAAAATAAATAAAAAGTTTCTTTATCCAATTAATTCTTTTCCTCTTTTTTTAATTGTTCGTTTTATTATTTATAATTCTTTAATTATAATAATTGAAAATAAATTCCAATCATTTAATCTTGGAATAATAAATAATTAAATAAACAATGCTTCAGCATTTGATCAGTCAAACCTGGCGTTTCAAACATCCAGAGCAAAACAACAGTCAATCACAGCAATTGCCCAGACGCTTTTTCCCTTTACTGACTTTAATCAAACATTGCAAATTCAAACCCAATGCAACCTTTTATTGATTCAGTCAAACAAATGCGAATTCAATCCAAATCTCGGAATATCTTGCAAAGCACCGTAGAATTAAATATTTCTGAGGAACCGCGCATGAACAAACCTAATTCCTGATTAAATGCCAAAGAAGCGTTCGCCTGATCGAAGTTGAGCCAAAATCAACCAAAACCCTAAGCCAACTGTTTGAAACATTCTAGAGCCCTGAAAATCAGTAAAACCCTAATTTTTGATTGACTGACGAGAAAGGTCTGTTTGTCCGATTCTTGAGCCAGTCTGAAAAATCAGGAAAAGCCTGAAGTTGTGATTTCTTGAGGAAAAATGCGAGGGCAAATTTTGGGGTACAACAGTATCCATATGATAAAATGATGTTGTTTTGACTAAGATGTATGTGTTATGATGTTGTGAAGCTAACGCGATGATTATGATGGATAATGATGTGTTTCTTACTAGCCGTGGTCGTATTTTATATGTTGTTGTGCATCATGCAATCATAATATTTGTTAGGAAGAATAGTCCAATGATGTTTTGTAGGATAATAATCCAATGAAGTTTGTTGGACGTTCCTGTCCAGTGATGGCCTTAATCCCATAGTATAGATTAAGTTCATTTTGTGATGTGCTTTGGTTCAAAGCGGGAACTGATCCTATTGGTGGAGATCTTTGGAGATAACGATGATTAAGTCATCAGTGATGTTTCAGTATCACATGCATGAGTCTAGTGAAGTTGCATTTCATTATTGGTGGCATTGCATAATAATTGAATTAAGTGATGTATTTTACTGATTATTGAATGGTGGTGTTTTGATGAGAAGAGCTAGTGATTGCAGTTATCTATAGATGTAGTACAGGATGCCATGTTATTGTATTGTAACAATGCTATAACTACTATATCTATTACTTATGATTTTCATATTGATTATGGTTTACTCACCCCTTTCTGCTTGAATGTTGCCTCTACGTGGGTAATATTTCGGTGATCGAGATTAGTTCGTAGTAGCGTGAGGATAGTTTGGAGTCTTTTATATGATTCGATTGAATAAAAAGGGTCTTGCTCTGATATGTAACATCAGGGTATTTGGGATTCGTTTGAGTTTAACCATTTTCTTTATTGGCATGATGCATTGAGATATTTTGGTTTATTTATTAAGATGTTTTGAGCATGACTTATAGGTCACGAAGTGTGATGGTATTTTATCTAAAGTATTTAATAAAGATGTTTTAAGACTATAATTTCCACTGTGATGTTTAAAGTTCTTGATGATATATTCAAAGAGATAAATATTTTAATGATGGTTGAAAATCTGTGTTATGGAGCAGGATGTATTGTTATGATATTTTATATGAAGATGTGCAGCCCATGTTGGTGATTTATGCTTGAATATTTGTTAATTACTCGCAAAAGTTTCTTGGGGTTTAGAAGGGTGTTACAACTATGACAATGTTAGTAGGAAGTATCCTCCTGCTAAAGTTTTATGGTACTTACCAATAACTTCACAATTTAAGTGACTTTTTTTCTAATTCGAATGATGCAAAGAATCTTAGATGACATGCAGATGAAAAGACTCGTGATGGAAACATTCACCATGTAGCTGACTCGTTACAATGGAAGAAAATTGATTTATTGTTTCTGGATTTTGGAGTTGAGCCAAGAAACTTTAGGCTTGGGCTTGCCACTGATGGAATAAAACCCTTTAGTAATCCGAGCACTGATCATTCTTCGTGGCCTGTTCTTCTCACTATTTACAACCTATCTCCTTGGTTGTGCATGAAGCACAAGTATATACTGTTAAGTATGATGATTTCTAGATCACGGAAACCTGGTAACAACATAGATGTTTATCTAAGTCCATTAATTGATGATTTACGACTCTTGTGTAATGAAGGCTTTGAGGTTAGTGATGCATATTCTGGGGAAATATTTAAGATGCGTGCAATGTTATTTTGCACAATTAATGACTTTCCTTCTTACGGTAACTTGGCTGGATATAGTGTCAAAGGACATAAAGCTTGTCCTATTTGTGAAGATAATACTTGTTATCACCAACTTGAGTTTAGAAAAAAAGACTGTTTACCTTGGGCATCGAAAATTTCTAAAACCTGATAATCCTTATCGTAGATTACATAAGGCTTTTAATGGAGAGCAAGAGTTTGATGAAGCTCTTGAACCTTTAACCTGGGATGAAGTTTATCAACGGCAGGAACACATTAATGTTGTCTTTGGGAAGAGAGAAAAAGAAAAAGGGGAAGTTGTGAAAAATATATGGAAAAAGAGGTTCATCTTCTTTGATCTTCCATATTGGTCAAGTCTTGATGTTAGACATTGTCTTTATGTGATGCACATGGAGGAAAATGTGTGTGATAGTTTGATTGACACACTTCTAAATATTCTAGGAATGACTAAAGATGGTAAGGATTCCCGTCTTGATATAGAGGTGATGGGTATACGAAAACAATTGGCTCCAATAGAGAAAGGAAAAAGAACTTATCCGCCTCCAACATGTCACACTCTATCTAAAAAGGAAAAGAAATTTTTTTCCGAGTGTTTGCAAGGTATTAAAGTTCCACAAAGTTACTCATCAAACATCAAGAAACTTGTATCAATGAAAGATCTCAAGTTAATTCATTTAAAATCTCATGATTGTCATGTATTGATGCAATAACTTCTACCAGTGGCTATCTGTGGGATCCTACCAAAGAATGTGAGAGTAACTATAACGAGATTGTGCTTATTCTTCAATGTCATATGTAATAAAGTTCTTGATTTCAAAAAATTAGATGAATTAGAAGAGGAGGCTGCCATAATCTTGTGTCAATTGGAGATGTATTTTCCTCCATCATTTTTTGACATTATGTTTCACTTACTTGTTCATGTAGTCAGAGAAATCTGAGTTTGTGATCCAGTTTATTTAAGGTGGATGTATCCAATAGAGTGATATATGAAGATCTTTAAAGCATATACGAAGAATCATCATCGACCAGAAGCATCGATTGTTGAAAGGTACATCATTGAAGAGGCTGTTGAGTTTTGTACAAACTATTTGTCGGAAGTAGATTCTATAGGCATTCTAAAGTCTCGTCACACTGATTACAAAGACTGAAGAGGTATTCAAGGTCTAAATGTTAAGTCAATGGATCAGGATGTAGTTATTCAAGCACATTTATATATATTGAATAATATAAATGAAGTTTAACCTTTCATAGATACTCACAAAAGACTTTTGAGAAAAAAAATATCCCCAAATGAGTGACAAGTTGTTGCTAATAGAGTATAATAAGAGGTTCATATATTGGTTTAATAAAAATGTATCTAATGATCGTAGTGAATCCAAGATACTTAAATGGTTATCGTACGAGCCAAAATTTTATATCATTAATTGGACTGCATACGATATTGATCATTATAAGTTTTATATTAAATCAAAAGATGATCGTAATACAATGCAAAATAATAGAATTATAATTAAAAACTAAAAAACTAAATCAGATAAAAGAATATAATTATAAAAACAATTAAGTTCTCTTTCTAACTATCCACCTCTATATATGTATATTTGTGATTGAAGACAATGACTACATCATCATCCAGGATCAAGGACGGACCCAGCAATACTTGAGGGGGTGCAACTGAATTCCTTTGATTTGGAATTTTTTAATTAATTTCTCTTTTATTTTTCATCTTGCACCCCTGATTTTATCCACTTTGCACTCTTATTTTATTAATTTGTTCTGCTGTGAACAAATAATGCGTGCAACACTGCTCTTGCACTGAAGTGATGTATGGATGTATGTCGGACTATTATTTTGTTCACTTTTTATTTATAATGTAACTATTTACTACTATTATATCATTATTTTAAATAAAAAAGTTTCATAATTGAAACAAATTAACCTAATATTGAATATGAACAAATCAGATAACATTTCTACAGCACCATTACCTCTAACTGCTATAAAAGTCTAACTGTTATAAAAGGAAAACAATACATATATGAAAATGAGAATAAATCTAGCACACTATTAATATAAATTAATTTTATATCATCATATCATATCAGTATTTAAGAATTGATTATTAATTTATATTTTGTATAGTTTTCTCAAAATTAATACTTCTATATAATAATCATGTTTTGTAACCTTCTCTCAAAATTAGCACTTCTAATAATAATCAACTGATACAAACAAATTTATATAATTTAAAATGGAAAAATATTTTTTATAATAAAATTTATATGTTTATTTCTACATATTACTTTATGTTGAAAAATATAATAAAATATAATAATTTATATTTAAATTTGTAAATAAATATTAAATAATTAACTAACAAAATGTTGCACCCGTGGCTCAGGTTTCTGGTTCGGCCACTGTCCAGGGTGATTTAAAATACATCAACACATTATTTATTTATTATATTATAAAATATAAATCAAAGCTTAAGGTTCAAATCAATCGTTTTGCATGCTTCCTCCTCCTCCTCCTGAGTCTCTTTGTGTTCATGTTCAACATCTATATTAGCACCTGCCTCTGAAACCAATCCAAAGTCAATTTCAGTCATAGTAACTTGTTCATTAACAATGTTTTGGTTTATATGCTGAACATAGTGCAAAATCCATGCATCAAAACTTGATGACTCTGTAGCATGCAAAATCTCTCTGTCAATTCCAGAATTTTGATATCCATGCCCCATATTAGAGAAAATTTCCCTAACTTTGTTCATAGTTTCGTTCTTTTTCTGGAGTCTTCTCTCCAACTTGTGACAATTTTGGTGTCCACCTAATGCTTGTGGAGAAACAAATTTTTGTGTACAAAAGTTGCACGGGTAAGCTTTTCGATTTCCTTTAGTTGGATCAATAATATATCCAAAAAGAACAAATGGAGAAATTTCTTTGGATGAATTTGTTGATTCTTCTTCACCAGTATCATTCTTGTGACACTTTGAACTCTTGGATTTAGCAACAGGTTTTTCTTCCAACACAGTCACCTTTCGCTTGTTCTCATTATTCTGTTTGGCTACTGTTTCCTCATTCAGTTTTTCCTTCCCCTTGTTTGGATCATGATTAGTGTTGCACATGGCAAAAACAGGGAAGGAAAAATGATGTGTAATTTGGTGATGGGATTTTGAGGGGTAAGTTAGAGTGTGAAAATTGTTGTGAATCTAATGACATGCTTTTATAGCATATATTCATGCCAAATTTCCTAATGTATTTAGATTTGGTAAGTAAAGCAATCTTGAGGATTCATTTATTAGTATTATATATAAAATGATATTCTTTTTCTCTTTTTTATTTTATTTTATATACATATTATTTTACATAAAGTAAATTTTAGATTTATTATTATAGGAGACACACCTTTATCAATCATAGAATTCTATACTATAACTCAAATCACATCGAGTGTAAGTGGAACGTTCAACTATCTTTGTTGTTGTAATTGATGTTTTTTTTTTTGGATAAAAAATATAATAATTAATTTATGTGCAATTATTTAAATATTTTTTGCACAAAAAATATTGTTTGTTTATATGAAAAAAAATTTCTTCAAAAAGTTAATAATATTTTTTCAACATAATCAATTAATAAATTTAAACATTTATTGCCTTTTTAGTAATAAAGTATATACAAAATAGTTGAAAAGTAAAGAGTATAATTGAAAAGAAAAATATTTTAATAGTACTCCTTTGTTCTTTTTCAAGTGTTAGGTTTTTAAAAAGAAAAATATATATTTTATTTGACATTTTAAAAGTGAAAAATAATATTGATTATAGTTTTATTTATATTATTATGACTTTTTATTTTTAAAAAGTGGGATAATAAATTTACAAAAGGTGATTATTTTATCTTCTTTTTTTTTAATTTCTAAAATATAAATAATCAACTAAAAGTTTATAAATATTAAATGTTTTAATTCATAGATTTAGACTCCCTTTCAAATTTATTACTAGTTATAATATAATATTATATAATAAGAATTGTTTACCTTTCATTAAATTTCAATAATGATGAAATACTTTTCAATAATTACAATTTAATAATTTAATAATTTTTTTTTTACATTTTATTAAATTTATCTTGCTTAATGTTTAAGTAACAAAAGTAAGTATGTTTTTATATTGTTTCTACAAGAATTGATGTGAATATCAAAAATTGTTTAATAATTTTTGTAATTCTAAAATTTTGATTTGTTTGATAACTGAATAAAAAAAATATTATATTAAAAAGAATTAAATATGTTTTGAGTCCTTATAAATATTTTAAATTTGACTTTTAATTTCTATAAAAATATTATGTTTTAGTCTTTATAAAATTATTTTTGCATGACGTTTTAGTCATTTCATAGAGACTAAAACTATGTGCATAAATAATTTTGTAGGGACTAAAACAAGATTTTTTTTTACAGGAACCAAAAGTCAAATTCAGTAATTTTGTAGAGATGTAAATCATATTTAACCCTTTAGAGTTTTATAGATAGAATTGAGATAATTGGGATTAGTATTTTATCCTATCTTCATGCATTTTATTGATCAGTTATCACTATAAAAAAGTGTTTTAGCTTCAAATTTTGTAGAGTCTGAATCGCATTCGATGCTAAAAGCGTCAGTTTTATTTCATGAGGTGGACTCTAACTAATTTATTACATTAGTTTTAATTTTCTTAATAATATTTTAATAATAGTGTTTGTTTGGGCCAACACTAATGTGATGTAGAAAGACTGATTGCGCATATCGAAAAGGTTTGACAAGAATTGTGAGGTTTGACGTCTGATATCATAATGACTATTATTATACCTTTTGTGAATAGGGAATCGTCTCACATGTCCAACTAATTGTTTTGTAAAGACATATGGACATTTTATGCCATCAAAGTTTGTTTTAAGCCCGAATATAATATTTTAATATTTTTCACATTTTTGCGGGGGGGTGTTCAATTTCTGTGGAAATGATGCTTGCCACGGTTCAAAAATTCTCAAACACTACTAGCCTGATCATTAATCCAAGGAAGTGGGCACGATTTTCTGTGTGTGTATAGGGGGGGGGGGGGAGGTAGACCATGAGACTAAAGTGCAGCTGATAGAGGCCACCACCTTTGAAGAAGGCAAACTGCCTATGAAGTATTTTGGGATGCCTGTTATAAGTAAGAAACTCAATATAAATCACTATATGCCTCTTATTGAAAAGATTTTGAGTAGAATAATGCACTGGATATCAAGATTATTAAGTTATGCAGGTAGAGTGCAACTAGTGAAAAGCGTTGTGTTTGCCATATCTCAATATTGGATGCAATATCTTCCATTGCTTCAAATTTTAATCAACAAAATAGAAGCCTTGTGTAGAACATTTGTTTGGACTGGGGGTCATGAATTGAGTAGAAAAAGCCCTGTGACTTGGAAGTCAATATGTAGTCCCAAGACGCAAGGGGGTCTCAATATTTTCAACCTCAATTTATGGAACAAAGTTACCATGTTAAAGTGCCTATGGAACCTCTATAGAAAATTAGACAACCTTTGGGTTAAAATGGGTTAATGATTATTATTTTGTAAGTGTTTAGTTATTGGCATGTATTTTTGGTAAAACCAGGTGTGTGAATGTCATGACTGATGTCATAACATTCTGGATTATTAGGTACTTTATGCAGAAAAAGTATGGCATACAGTAGCTGCTTTTATGAGTGTGTATCTGAGCATTTTGCAATGATCACATTTATTACTTTCTACCAAAATCAGTAAACAGAAATTCTGATGTCATAACAAATGTTAAGACATCCTGTACTGATATAACAGTTATGCAGTTTGGTTAATTCTAAGATTTTTCAGGAAGTTGGTTCATTCATTCCAGAACAGAATCTCACGTGGACTTTAGGTTAACCTAGCTCAACCCTAATCTGGTTGATAAAGTCTTGTGACATAGTCTTGAGGTTAACCCTAATTAACCCTAGCTTTTCGTGGAAGCCCTAACTGAAGAAACAACTGCATATATATTCAACAGGAAAGCTGATTGGAAATCAACTCTTAGACAAAAGATCAATTAGGAGCTGTATAGTTTTAACTGCTGTAATCCAAGCAAGTATCACTGTGATAAGTGACTTGGAATAGGTTTTGATTGTAAGGGTTTTTGTATCACTCAAAGCTTTGAAGCAAGAGTGTTTGTGTCTCTTGACTAAAGCTTTGAAGCAAAGTCAAGTTAGGTTTATGTATCACTCAAAGCTGTGAAGCACGAGTGTTTGTGTTACTTGATTAAAAGCTGTGAAGCATAATCAAGTGTATGTTCTGAAGAGTGTCTTCATTATTTCATTAGTCAATTGTTTAAGTATCACTGTTGTGATTGAGGGGGAGTGAGTAGGAACTCAGGTTTAAGTTGAACTTAGATTGAAGTAGCATTGGGTAGGTCTTAAGTGAAGGAGATAAACTGGTTGGTTTAATCCTGAATTAATATCTCTTATAGTGGATTTCCTCCCTAGCTTGGTAGCCCCAAGAGTAGGTGTTGTTTCACACTGAACTGGGTAAACAATTGACTGTGTTCTTTACTGTTTTTATTTACTGTCTTATAGAAAGTCAGATACGGTGTCATAACATTCACTATGAAATTGAGTATCTGCTGCCAGAATTTCAATTGGCATCAGAGCAGGCACCCTGCCTGTATTACTGGGTGAGATCTAGGGATATCACTTTCTGGCACTATGGGCAAAGAAGGAGTTTTTGGAAACAGACCACCCATTCTGGATGGATCAAACTATGACTAATGGAAACCTCGTGTGATTGCCTTCTTAAAATCACTGGACAAAAAGGCTTGGAGAGCTGCTGACAAAGGATGGAACCATCCCACCATAACTGAGAAAGATGGGACAATCAGTCTGAAGCCTGAGGAAGAATGGAGCAAAGAAGAAGATGAGTTAGCCCTGGGTAATTCCAAAGCTTTAAATGCTTTGTTCAATGGAATTGATAGAAACATATTCAGACTGGTACATCAATGTAAACTGGCCAAGGAAGTTTGGGACACTCTCAAAACTACCCATGAGGGCACATCCAAAGTAAAAATGTCAAGGCTTCAGATGCTGACTACCAAGTTTGAGAACCTAAGGATGATGGAAGATGAAACCATTCATGAGTTTCACATGAACATCTTGGAGATTGCCAACACCTCAGGAGCATTGGGAGAAAAGATGTCAGAAGAAAAACTGGTGAGAAAGATTCTCAGATCCTTGCCTAAAAAATTTGCAATGAAGGTAACTGCTATAGAGGAAGCCCAGGATATCAGCAAGTTGAAGGTGGATGAACTCATTGGGTCTCTTCAGACTTTTGAGACGGGGATCAGTGAAAATGTTAACAAGAAGAACAAGAGCATATCACTTGTATCCAACACTGAAGATAAAAACAAGGAGGATGAAGAAGAAAGTATTTCAGAAGCTATAGCTATGCTTGGAAGACAATTCAACAAACTCATCAAGAGAATGGATCCAAAGTCAAGGTCAAATGTTAAGAACATTTCTTCTGACATTAACAGATCTTATGACTCCAGCAGAAAACCAAGGTCTGAAGAGAAGGGAAATCAAAGCAGAGGAATTCAATGTCATGGATGTGAAGGATATGGGCACATTCGAGCTGAATGTCCTACCTTTCTTAAGAAACAAAAGAAAGGAATGTCTGTTACCTGGTCTGACTGTGATTCAAAAAGTAATTCTGAAGAAGAATCTGCCAAACTAGTTACTGCACTAACTGGTGTTTGTACCTCTGAAAGTGACACTAGTGATGAGGAAGTGACATTTGAAGAACTGGCTGATACCTACAAGAAATTATGTATCAGAAGTGCTGAAGTCTGTCTGCAAAATGAGAGACAAACAAAACTCATAATAAAGTTGGAGGCTGAAAAAAGGGCAGACATTGAAACTATAAGTCATCTAGAAGAGGATGTTCAAATGTTGAACTCAAAACTGAACCAGATGACCAAATCTGTCAAGATGCTGACAAATGGAACTGACAAATTGGAAGAAATCCTTCAGGTTGGACAAAATGTGGGAAACAAGTCTGGTCTAGGATTTGTGGCAGCAAAGAAATCTGGTGCAGACAAGAAGATCA